ACTCACCCAGAACTACATCACGGAGGAAAACTGGAAAGCGAAGGAAGTACCTGGGTTGGAAGACCTCCAAGAAATCGGTCGCCTGCAGCTTCGGGGTCTCTTCACTCCCGGTATCGATGACTCCCACGAGCAATACGTGGTAGACAGCAATTCCCGCGAGACCTTTGAAACATGGGAAGCCTGCATGGCCGAAGGCGTGCGGCCTCACAGAGTCACAGCCGAGATCCCCGAGGACGTTGAGAAACTCCACGAGCAGTCCCTCAGAGCCGGTCGCGACGTCTTGAAACAAAGCCACCCCAGAGAGCGCAAGCGCTGGATCGACAAGCAGGGAAACGACTGGAGCGGCGCGTTTGGCGACGACCCGGCCGCCTATCTCGACTCCAAGGGCCGCAAGATCGCGGAGCCAGGTCGCGACCAGCCCCCGCAAGACCCAGTCAACCCCCCGCCCAAGGAGATCGAGCCCACCGGGGCCGCGCACCCCAGCGATTATGAGGAGGACACATCGGAGTCCTCATCAGACGAGGACACCCAGCCAGAGCAGCAGCAGGAGCAACAGCAGCAGCAGCGACAACCTTCCGAACCTCAAACCATCACGACGAAGCCCAGCGAAGCCAGCTCAAGCAACGGCCCATCGAAGCGGGCAGCCAAGCGCAGTGAGCAGCGCCAGCAGCGCGGTCTGATGCAGTGGAAGCCAGCGCGCAATGCGGTGTTCGCACGGGATGAAGCCAAGTATGCACTGCGCAAAGTGAAGCACAAGTTCACCGGCAACCTGAGCGGACGAGAGCCGGACATTGAGACCGAGACGGGACAGTAGTCTGTTGAATTCTTCTTCTTTTGATTGCATGCACATGCATAATGCCACTCTATCGTCGTCTTAACGAAAATGTCTGTATGGGTTACCTGGTACATGATTGGTTTTTCACTTGATTCCGGGATACCGTATTGTACATGCTCTCTAAGTATGTCCATGAATATCCAATGCAAAGTAATTAGTCTACAATCTGAGAGGTACCCAAAGTGATAATTACCGTAATAAGGGTTTAAAGCAAGGGTATCTGCAGGCCTATCACTTATCACAGCGGCAAGCAATCAGATCAGTCGAATAGCCTCTGCCAACACTCCGGCCCGGCCTTAATTAACTGATAATAGGGTGGGCTATATTACCTACTAGGCAATCTGAGACAGATTCCTGTAGTCGATTGTCGTGATTGCCCACAAACACTGTCGAAGAAGTGACGCAGGACTGCATTTTTCACTGCGGGGCTTCAGACTCTCACCCAGTTTGCCACTTGTTACCAGTTACAGGTTTAGTTGTTACTATATTAATCTTTTTTATGTTCGTGATCGTCCATCCTCGTGCTCGGCAAGAGTCTCGTATTGGCGAGGGTGGGGTTATGACGCAGAAAAGGACAGTTGGAAGACGTGAAGAAAATAGTTAGATTGCCCGCAATCACAGCGAAATTAGAATCTGACAGTAAGTGTGTATATACTGTGAATTAAAACAAAAATGTATCAAGCCATCGACCAGGGGTCCCGGTGGTCTCAGACAACCGAGCGAAGAATGCTTGAGGTGATACAATGAAAGGCCTGAGAGCAAAGAACTCCAGGAAATGATAAGAATGCAAGGCGCTGAACGGCTCAATATGAGGAGTATGCGTGTCTATATGACGTAAATCGTAACTAAATCAATCATCAATGCGAGGTGGTATAGTTCAGGGATCTTCAGATCTATTGGTATCGGGTGGCTCAGTCTCAAGGGCTTGATTTGTGTTTGAGCCATCGACCTTGCCCTCAGGAGATGCAACAGATGAAGTTGGGCTGGAGAGCCGCCCAGAAGCGCTGGAAGACCGACTATCCTCCGAGTCACTGGTGGCCAAGCTCTCGGTGTCCTTGTCATGATGAGTGCTCACATCCGATACAGGTGCGCCGTTGGCCCCAAGAAGCTTAGAAGATGCATCCTCGGGCGTTTGAGGTAATTGGGTAAGCTCGTTCCGCTTTTCTAATGGTCCCAAGGTCCATCTCCATTCGCAACGGCGCTTGACGCGATGCTGGCGCGGTGTCTGGGGAGTGGAGGAACCATACGGATTGGTCTCAAGCCCGTCCAATAGTGCCACTGCACGAATCTGTCTTTCCGCAGCTAAAGGTTTCCTCTTCTTCCTTTCGCTTTGAGGCTGTGATGTGGTGCGATATTCGTCCTCATCGGAGGTGTTTATGTCAGACGAAGTACGGCTAGAATTGGTATCCGAGTCCTCGCCGGAGCCAGCCTCTCCAGAAGGGTGATGTTCCACCTGGTCAGTGAGGTCGGAATGGCGCGCGGTGTAGTGCACGGTCGTGATCTCCTCCTCGAGTGGATACCGATAGCTCACCCGTTTCTCGGCGGGGAAGAACATCCTGCGCGAGCTCGATCCCCCATTAGGCCCGTTCGGGGCCACGGATATCGATCGCCGTCTAGCAGTAGGTTCTAACGGCGAGTTTCGAAGAATACTCTTCACTCCAAGAGGTTGTTGATATGGATTCCCGTTAGCATTAGTGGGATATGGTGACGAGGGTTTGCCGAATCTTGACATGGAAGATTTGGAGGGTGACACGGTAGCAGAAGGCGGACAGGAGGAGACATCATAGGCGTTCTTAAAAGTGTTGCGCACAGTGGGAGACGCTGTGGCACCGGCTGCTAACGAGAGAGACAGCCCCGTTGTTGAACTGCCAAACGTCATTGGTAGTGATTTGGTCTGAAGTGTGAGTTTCGGTCTCTGTGAGACGTTCGACCGCCGGTCGTCTGCCGCATTTGATGATACGCCGCACGACATATTTGTAGAAGCGATGCCTGTCTGACACGAGGTCTGTGATATTGTGTGGGTGTTCGTTCGATCAACATCTGAAGGAGGGTGAAGATGCGACGGTAACGGGGGCATGGGGGCTGCAAGCATGGCGAAGAGACGGAGAGAGGGAGACCTAGGAAATGGCGCAAAATGATCGAGAGGAGAGCCCGAGGAAATAAGAACAAAATCGAGGTAGAGAAGAGAAGACAGAAAGAGTGAAAGGACGGACTGCGCCCCGCACGAAGAGGCGATGGAGGGGAGTAGATTGTAAGTAAAAGCCCACAGTTGGCCAGACCGGATTCCAACAATAAGACAACCGTCGGATAATCGATGGAGACGTTGGGGCTAAGTGGGAAATATGGAAATAATAAGATATCTACTAAGAGATGGGGGAAAATATTTGAAAAATAAGAATAGAAATACAACCACGAAGAACAGTAGTAGAGGAGAGCAGGTGGGCGCTTGGAGGATTTCCTATTTTAGATATGCAACTGCGGAGGCAAATTTGGCGATAATGACTTTGAGCAGTGTTTTGTTTTCGCGGGCGTCGGAAGGAATCAAAGTATGGATGTGAATATGAAGAAAAAGAAGAAGAAAAGAGAGACACACTGAGTGAAAATACTCTAGGAGAGCTTTATCTGACCTGAAAAGACAAAAAAGCGTCCATCACATTCATACTCCGTAGTAGGCGTGTTATTCAGAGGGTGCAGGGACTATTGGACGCCATACTGGAGCAGCCAGTCTATTTCTGTCATGCACATACGTATGTCTGCCTGTCTACGGAGTACTGTCGATCCGATCGTCAAGTCCAACTTATTCACCACTAGACTCTAACCTTCTGTCAGAATAATATCAAAACCAGACAACCTGATACAATCTCGGATAGAATCATCACATTGTCTATAGATTGTTGCAACCTAAACTCCGTTTATAGACAAGACATGACAGCTTGTAGGTACCTCAAATACTTCCAGTCCAGTCCCATTATCCAGGTACGTATCCGTACTGTGTACAGACTACCTTACCAGGTACTATAAAAAGATCAGGGCAAGACACGAGGCGGTGGGGAAGGCCTCTAGTACTACGTCTTAATCCATACTAGTCACAAAACAGTATCCAAGTGTTGTACGGTAATGTAACATTTGATGCATCGGGAGTCTGGACTTACTCCGTACATGAACCATGGTTTCCCAGTCAGGTTGTAGAAACAGTTCCAGTTTGACACTGCTAGACAGAGAACAATGTTTCGAGCTGTTCACCCTCAGAGATATCTCAGTCATGGGAGTTGTCCAGCCTGGAGGCTTCGTGTTTCCACTACTACTTGTCTCTTACAAAGGTTTCAACTCTTCCAGAGTATCGACTGATAAAACGTAACCCGATCGTGAAGAAGAAACTTCATACCTCTTTAGTGCTCAAGAAATTAGAATGCACTGGTTCATACAGCACTTCAGTGTACCAATACTTGCAGAGTGACTTTAAATGCTTGGAGGTCTGAAATTGCTGCAAGAGACTTTATTTTTGGCCTTGATGGCATATCCCTCCCCTCCTTCTCATCACGAGGATCATCAGAGTATTCGATGGTATGCTTAATATAAGAGTCAGCGTAATACGCAGCTGCAGTAGCTTTCCAGCTCGAGTCCTCAATAACCTACTCTGTACAGAGTAGTCCATTCGGACCATTCAAAATGATTCAAGGCAACATTGAGTCAGTGTATTTTGATGCCAGAGTGGACATCTCCACCTCCAGCCACTTAGTTTTCTGTGCCACAATCCCAGCCTCCACTTCGGTCCAATCATATTCTCCAGCGGAATTCGTTGTTGGAATAACTTCATCTTCGCCGCTCAACAGGCCATTCTTGAGTCAGACAGCGTGGGTTCTCGCGTTGACCCGTTTCCATCAACACAGACTCTGTTGATGTGTTTCCTTAATATGTCAGCTAATTAATCGGGTATCTTACCACCGACTTTCCTTTGCAGCCTCGATAATGCCCACCGTTAGATAGTCCAGCAACGGGACCAATGCCGCACAATAGCATTAACTCAGCATCAGGTGGACGGGGCACAGTCACGTATCGAACGAAGACGGATCCTCAAGACTCCAAATTTGACCAACCTAGATGGCTGCGCCTCGTAGGGATGACGGTCGAATCATCATTCATTTTGTTAGTGCCCGTCGTAACTATGCGCAAAGAAGCGCGGAGAATGGCCAGTAAGGTTATGGTAATGATCGCTAATCACCCCTGAAAAATACAGGATTATGATTGCTTCTATGCCTCAGTGTTCGAGGCGGAACAGCCAGTGCTCAAGTCTCTGCCTCTGGCGGTTCAACAAAAGCAGATCGTGGTAACTTGTAACTACGAAGCTCGACGGCGAGGGCTGCGCAAACTGCAGCTGATCAAGGAAGCGAAGCAGATCTGTCCGGACGTAGTCATTGTTTTGGGTGAAGACCTCACCAGATTCCGCAATGCTTCCAAGGAGCTCTATCTCTTTCTCCGGGACTTTGTCTGGGGAAAGCGAGTTGAGAAATTGGGGTTCGATGAGGTGAGTGTATACCCTGCCTGTGCTTTCGGGATTTGGCCCCATGCTAATGATCAAGCATAGGTTTTTCTCGATGTGTCCGACATGGTTACCTACAATGTCGAGATGCTGAATCGTAATGACCTCAAAAACTCATTCTTTCACCTTGACCGTCGAGATCCCACAGTGGGTTTTACGTACGATGCGACAGACTTTCAAGGACACACCTATCCAGCTGTCCCCGACGTTGTAACAGACGCGGGCTCGGAGTGGCTTCGCATTAGACTGTTGGTTGCGTCGCATTTGGCAGCTTATCTTCGAAACCAGCTCGAGTACCAGAAGGGCTACACTGCCACTGTGGGCATTTCCACATCAAAGCTTCTCGCAAAGCTAGTCGGAAACACACATAAGCCCACCAGTCAGACAACTCTTCTGCCGCCTTATACTGTGGCGGAGCATGGGGCGAAAAGCAACGTGCTACACTTCCTTGATGCTCATGAGATCAGAAAAATCCCTGGAATAGGCTTGAAAATTGCGCATAGGATCAAATCATTCCTTACTACGGCTGTAGCTGGGGCCGGAACAGAGGTAGTACGGACTAGCGATACAAGACCCCACTCAGACGACCACACCGTCACGGTTGGAGACGTCCGTCTCTTCCCTGGCATGGGCCCTCTCTTATTAAAAAAAATTCTAGGTGGCCCAGGATCTCCCAGGGGCATTGGGGCGCGAATATGGGGGCTGATACACGGGGTGGATAACACTGAGGTTCTACAAGCTCGAGATCTACCGACGCAAATCAGCATTGAAGACTCATACGGTCGCTTAGACACTTTCAAAGAAGTCAGGAAAGAGCTGGTTGCTCTGACAGTCAGCTTGATCCGGCGCATGCGGGTTGACCTGACTGAGATGGACCCTGATGTCCATTCCCCAGCCGGCGAGCCCGCTGCAGCTGATGCTCTTAATGCAAAACGACAGCTCCGATGGGTGGCTCACCCAAGGACTCTTCGTCTCTCGACGTGTCCTCGCCCAGCTCCAGGCTCCGATCAGCCAGAGCGCCATGGTCTCAACCGGATATCACGTTCCGCACCTCTTCCATCCTACGTCTTCAACCTCGATGAGAACGTGGATGCTTTGGCAGAGCGACTTGTGCAAGACTTGGCGATGTCAATGTTCCGGAAGCTTCACCCTGAAAACACGGGTTGGAACCTCCGTGTTCTAAATATTGCCGTGACTAATATGATAGAGAGTGCTGGTGACCAGAAGAACAGCAGCGGTCGAGATATTGGGAAGATGTTCCGTAAACAGGAAGCGACGCAGCACGATGATCCTACGCCAGAGCTGGAGAAGATTACCTTCAGCGGCATCGCTCAAGGAGACATGGATTCGAAGACGGTTGATCCCGCCGGAGCCAACGGTACCTGGGAGGAGAGCGACGAAGATGGCGACACGCCGTGTGTCGCCTGTACAATTTGCGGGACGTTGATACCACATTTTGCCATGCTTGCTCATGAGACGTACCACACTGCACCGGATGATTGAGAACTTGGGTTCGAGGATAGAGGGCTGTGGTTATGTCAGTGAGCTACCACATTTCTAAAGTTCGAATGAGTAACGAAGCTTTTTATGATCACAATAGTAGCCTTGATGCCTATCCATTTTCTATTGTGTTCTGTTATGTAAACGGTGAGCATTGATCATCACCTCTGATAACCCGTCACCGCTATGTGATCGGTCCAGCGTGAACCATACAGATATGCTTCGCATTAGAAGTGCTCACTAGAATCTTCCGTTCTAACTCAATCTGGTAAGATAGGCATACGTATATCCGAATTAAACTGGCCCACAGGACATCAGCCACAGGCGCCGATTGATCTTGGCAGTGATCATTTGCTCCTTGTTATGGTGGAGGGTTGTCTTGGACGACGGAATGCACAACGGCCATTCGCCATCTTAATGCTCCATCAATGAGACTAACGATGTATTCCTGATTATTCTTACAGGAATGTATTGAGATGACGATTAATAAGCCTCTTAATTATCCTCGATGATTACTGTTGATGGCAATGGCATAAATCCTCTCTCAGCAGTCTCTTACAAGACCCTGAAGACCCTTTGTGAGAGTCGAGCGCATCAGATATCTTCGCTCCACCTTTACCGCGCTCCTCCGCAACCTCTCCTCCTGACCGTCAACCATCTCGTCCCATCCTCCTCCTGTGTATATGATCGGACCCCAATTCGTTTCTGCATAATTCAGTCATTCGCTTCTTCCGGCTTTCTTTCATCATCTTTGGTACCGCCAAGCCGCTGCGCCCCAGTAAAACGGATCTGCCTGGCGCCCAGCAACCGGCATCCCTATTAGTCTGATCCTAGTGGAGGCTTCTTGTCAGCCACTGTTCTTCAAAGGGTGAATTAAGTGTCTCGGAGTGTGAGCATCAATCAGTCGTCTTCCGTCGATACTGAATCGGTCGCTTTCTCTCTTTTCATAGACGACGAAAGATTCTTGCAGGGTGCATATCGCCGGGTTGATGTTCTCGACTGATCCGACCAAGTCCTAAGACATTGTTTCATCTTACTTCCTCGGCCATTCTTTTATCTTGTTGCCTGATGCCAGTATTCATTCGGTCCCCTTAAGAGATTGAAAGAATAGGGAGAAGGTTACGTTCCACAGCCTGCTTGATTCGAGTCTAGGGGTTCCGTCCACTTGTCGACGGAGATGAGGTTTCTCAAATGTGCTCTGCCATTTGTTGCGAGTGCACTTTCACTCCTATCTGTTCAGGTTGCAGGTTGGTCCCCATTACTTCTTCGACGAGTCTTCACCGGAGATGGCTAACTTATCATCCAATTCCGTACAGCCCGATCGCAAGAACCTAGTGCCATCCAACATGTCTCGATACTTGAACATGCGGTAATCAACACACCCTCTCACGAGGTCGACCACCTTACAGATTTCGACGTCACATTCGAACTTCCGGATAAACACCAAACCATAAAATTAGAACTAGAACCCAACCATGATATCCTGGCCGATGATGCATACGTGCAGTACCTTGACGCGGAAGGAAACGTTCATCGTGAGGAACCGATCCAACGACATGAACACAAGGTTTTCAAAGGGCGTTCCCTGTTGAGGAGAGACAATGGTCTGTGGAGGCCTGTGGGATGGGCACGGATATACGTCCAACGGGACGGTTCCAAACCCCTGTTCGAAGGTGTTTTCAGTATCGACAATGACAACCATCACGTTGAACTCAAGTCGACTTACTTGCAGAAGAAGCGCGTCGAAGATGCCAGTATTCCCGACCGAAAGGACGAATATATGGTCGTCTACCGCGACTCAGATATGATTCGACAGGTCCGCAATGAGTTGAAGCGTTCTCTGTTCAGCTCGTCGTCCTGCCAGGCCGACAAGCTCGGCTTCAACAGTGACCCGCAGCATCCGATCTTCCGCTCTGAGTTTCAAGACATGGACTTGGGCATGAGCAGCTATGGTTCCATGTCGCTGAACTCATTGTTTGGCCTCAGCAAACGACAGTCGGATATTGGCGGTGTTTCAGGAAATGCGGGTGGTGTTAATCTGGCCCAAACCATAGGTAGCACATCCGGGTGTCCCAAGACCAAACAAGTGGCCTTGGTTGGCATTGCGGCAGATTGTTCCTTCAGGGCTTCGTTCGACAACGACGACGCTGCCAAGCAATGGATCATTAACGTGGTCAACAGTGCCTCGGACGTCTACGAAAAGTCGTTCAATATTTCCATCGGCCTGCGAAATCTCACCATGACCGACAAGACATGTCCTGGGACTGCACCGGCTTCAACGCAATGGAACATGCCATGTGATCAAAGCAACATCACTCAGCGACTCAACCTGTTCTCCCAGTGGCGTGGACAACAGAGCGATGGCAATGCCTATTGGACCCTCATGAGCAATTGCCCTACCGGCAGCGAGGTGGGTTTGGCATGGCTTGGACAACTCTGCAATGCAGAAGTTACCGGTGATGGCAGCAACTCGGTATCCGGGGCCAATGTTGTCGTCCGCGTCTCGGGTGGTGGATGGCAGGTCTTTGCCCATGAGTCGGGTCACACCTTCGGAGCGGTGCATGACTGCGACAGTATGACCTGCGCGCAGAACTTGGAGGCGTCCTCTCAATGCTGTCCGTACAACAGGGGGACCTGCGATGCCAATGGAAAGTACATCATGAACCCGAGTACAGGAGCGGATATCACCGCGTTCTCACCCTGCACAATTGGAAACATCTGCTCTGCGTTAGGTCGCAACAGTGTCAAGTCCAGCTGTCTGTCTGATAATCGCAATGTTGTTACCTACAGCGGCAGCCAATGCGGCAACGGTATTGTTGAAGCCGGCGAAGACTGTGACTGCGGCGGCGAGTCGTCGTGCGGCAACAATCCCTGCTGCGACGCCAAAACCTGCAAGTTCAAGAATGGAGCCGTGTGCGATGATGCCAACGACAGCTGCTGCTCGCAGTGTCAGTTCTCTGCCGCCGGAACCGTCTGCCGAGCTAGTCTCGGGGAATGTGATCTGCAAGAGACCTGTACGGGCAATTCAAGCACCTGTCCTGCGGATTCGTTCAAGAAGGACGGAGAACAATGTGGCAATATCTCTGGCCTGACCTGCGCCAGTGGCCAATGCACCAGCCGTGACTATCAATGCCGGACCGTCATGGGAAGTTTGATCCACGACAATAACACGTACGCATGCCCGCAATTTGATTCGTCATGCGAATTGATCTGTACATCACCCTCCCTGGGTTCATGCTTCAGTATAAACCAGAACTTCCTCGATGGAACCCCCTGCGGTAGCGGGGGTTACTGCCACAACGGGCGGTGCGACGGCTCCAACTTTGGATCCTGGATCGAGAAACATAAAAATATCGTCATTGGTGTTGCATGCGGTGTGGGTGGCTTACTTGTCCTCTCCATTCTCTGGTGTCTGATCAACCGCTGTCGCCGGCCACGAACAGTCGTCAAACGGCCACCGATGCGGCCCTGGCCGGGCCCTATGCCACCACCGCCACCTCAAATGGGACAGTGGGCCGGGCCTAATAGAGGGTACCAAGGGCTCCGGGCTGAGCCGCCACCCCCGTACCCCGGACCGTACCAGTCAGCAACACGATATGCCTGATCCTTTCCTTCTTACCGTCACGGTCCACACGGGATTGATTCCCGCAGCACTTGCATAACACTATCATTTATATCCGGTTGTATATGTTTTGGAGTTAGAGAGTCTTTACTTTATGGTCTGGGTTAAGGCACTTGGAATCCTAGGCTCTGGTGTTTTTTTTTTTTTTGTGGGCGTATCAGATGTCAGACCTGTTTTCACATCCGATTTCATAGTTATCTTTGGTGGGTATTACTTGCATATATCTGCACTTTTTCAAGAGAATTATTAACCGCGTTGCGGGCAGATGCGGTTGGCCCCAAATCTGTATGGATGTCATGAGCAGCTTCCCAAAACATGCAAATATGCCACCTTGATCCATGGTGGCTTCATCTACAGTTGAAATAAGTCACTACCAATGAAATAGATTGCAGGATGAGACGGAAGATAAGCCCTCCCATCTCTCACTCCTTCTCCGTACTAAACAATTGGCTATGGGCGCACCGGGTAGCGAAGGGCAGGGGATGAGAGAAATGCACAAAAGGTCATCGAGCTTTGAGCAGACGTCAATGCTGTCAGTGAATGTGGCGGATGTATTGGATCAAGCCGTGATTCGGGCTGATTGACCCGAGAAATCATTTGCGTCGTTCAATGCGTTGGAACCGGCGGCCAGCCCCTAATATCGAAGCTTGTTTAACAAAGCGGCCCCTTTGCACTTGGCAGCGAGGGACGAGTACATCTGACATGAAGCTACTTCTGGCCCGCGGCCGCCCTTGAGGCGCGCAATCGCTGCGGGATATGGGGCATTGCATACAGTGGCCCGACTAGTCGAGTGTGGCGTTGGTGTAAACCTCTTGTCTAATAATTCCGGAGAGACCTCGTTGGATCCGGTTAAATTCAAGAATTGACACGCCCATCGATTGTCTCCTTGAAGAACCGGGCTGTATCTGGTAACGAGAGCACGGATGACAGGAAAATGTTTCATTACTCAAAAAGAACCAGGCACGCATGACAGAAGAAGCATATACAAGCAGATAGCAACACAATCATCACTGCCAGCAGATACTCACAAACGCATCCCTCGTAACACCACCGACACCTTCCAAATCAAACTCCTCGATCATCGCCCGTAGCTCCTCCTCCTCCAACCCCGTCTCCCCCAATTCCCTCGCAACCCGCCGCAAATCCTCAAGATCAATGTACCCCTTCCCGCCCTCGTCAAACAGCTCAAACGCCCGGAGGATCTCGTCCCGCGGATCCCGCTCCAGAATCTTAACGGCCGTCACGGCCTGAAAGGCCGACAGCGGCATGAGGAGGTTGGAAGGATGCTGGGGGTTGGTGGCCGGCGTCGTCTTCGACTGCGCCTGATGCTGCGCTGCCTGAGACGCCGATTGCTGTTGTACTTGGGGCCGGGGGACGCCGTAGGTCGTGAGGAGGGAAATGAGTTCTTGTTTCGAAAGCGTGAAGCCGAGGGCGCGGAACGCGACGCGGAGTTCATGATAATCTAGATGTCGGTCTCGGTCGAGATCGAAGAGCGTAAACTACACAGCCATATCACATTAGCTAAATCCAAGAAAAAAACATTCCCATACCCATATTGCCTTGGTTCGTCCGGAACACCGTCGCGGTAAACAGGCACAGGCACAGGCACAGGCACAGGCCTGAACGAAGTATCAAATCGCTTACAGCTTCGTTAATCTCCTCCCTCTGCTCCTCCGTCAGCCGATTCAACGGATTCGAGTCCTGCGAGGGCCCGTGTGTCTGCGAATGCACGGGAGGCTGAGGCGGGGCCTGCTGTGTTGATTTCGCGCCCTCTGCGCCAAATTCGCCGGGCCCTGTCGCTCCCAGGCCGCGATGCCGAGAGAAGGACGACGCGCTGAAGGGGATCGCATTTGCGTTCACGGATCGATCGGGTAATTTGCCGCCTCCGTATGAGCGCGAGCCGAACGGCTGGTGGGCTGATGAGGCCATGATGGGTAAACGGTCCCCGAAAGCGTGTCGCCAGGACACGGGTCGGTAGAGACGTATTCTTGTGCTGGTAGAGACGAGAGTTGACTAGGAAGATATTGGATAGCAATTTTCGAGGCTATGGGAATCGGACAATGCTGTGGTGTTCTAATTGTGGGGATTTGTTTCGTCTTTGTCTGCGGAGAAACGCGCTGGAAGCAGTCGCAGCGGACAGACGCGAAGCGGTGGACAAAGCTTCTTGTTGTTCCTTGGGCGATCATACAACAGAATGTCAGCTATCAAGATAGTCATTGCACCTCAGTTGGAAATTATTCTAATTTATATTACTACTAGCAACAGAGAATCGCAATCACTTAGATTCAATGGTATAGGGTTTAAAACTTTCTTTGTCCTCTGGTATCGTGTAGCAAGGTTATATCACATGTAGCAAGATCCATCCAGGTCTTTGTTTCAGGTAGCCAACTTCGTTGCAAAAAAATTGTAGAACTCATAACACAATAGCCAACTGGCTTTCCCGCAAGAAATCCATAGAGCAGAGCCAAAATACATTTGTTCGAGATTTCGGTGTCGATATTCCTGCTGGGTTGTCCTGTGTTGGCGAATTCTGGCAGCAAAATGGTGATACTGGAGCGAAAACTTGAGCAGATGGCAGCTAATAGCTTCCAACCATGCTGGATTGAGCAGAATTAACTAAGCTCGTCCCACCCCAGGAGTCGGTTGGCGAAGACATAGACCAGTCGCCCATTAGCGTGTTTCTTCCAAATGCCTCAAAGTCGGTGGGGCCTTCGTCGAAGGGATAAATCTGGGATAACTCTGCTTCCAAATTCTCCCAGTCGTCCGCACCGTCCATCATCTGCGAGAGATCTTGAGGCTGGCTTTCGAGTAAAGGTGCGGCACGAGTTGGATGCTCGAAACTCTCGTTAAGAAGAAACTCAGCATCGTATGAGACATCCGAGGACTGATAGGTTTGTCTGTGAATGGCTGTGGATGGCAGATTGTGATCAAAAGGGCCTGAACAGATCGCGAGGTTGAAGTATTGACGGCAGGAGACTGGCGGGATATGTTGCTCAAAGGTCACCTTCTTCTCGGCCTCCAGTTTTCCTTTCTCCAGCTTCGACCCGAATACGTGCGGGATCTTCGCCTTCACACAATAGATGTTGGAGAGTACCATGTTTGAGCGAATTTTAACCTTAGCAAATATGCCAGCCATTGGCTGTGGCAGTTCGAAGCTGGAAAGGGCTTCCAGGACTCGGTGGTAGAGACCGACAGCGACCCAAACTGGGTTGACGCAGCTTGCACCGCTGCAGTCATTCTTCAAGCCAGCAGGCTCACCGTCGTAGTCTGATTTTTGTTTGATTAAGCTGTAGGCTTCGGAACCCAACTCGTCTGACAATTCGCAGAGACCTCGTAGGCAGAGAGCCAGCATGCAGAACATCACGATCCTTGTTTGTTCTACATTAGTCGCTCGCACGTATACCTGCGTCTTGGAAAGGCATAGAATCGCCGAGAGCAGCTTGTGCATGGTCACAGCAGTCTGCACAAGAGAGCTGCCAGGGAATTGCGTCTCAAATTTATCCATCTCTCCAGATTGAACGCACTTCAGGAGCTTAAGAATTAGCTGTTGGCTCAAACCGCTGGAAGTGTTCATATTTGTAGCACCGAGGCCAGCCGCATGCATAACCCAGTAATCTATCACTTCGCCGTTGCATTGGCAGAAGCTGACAACAGCCTGGGAAGACGCACATTGAGATATCTTTTGTAGAGAAGAAAAGATATCTTCAGGTTTCGTCGTTTGGAACGAAGTACTGTCTTGGTTCATGTCCTGACAGGGAAGCAAGGACAGCTCTGCAGGTCTTCTGATGCAAATGGATTTGCTGTCTTGGCAACGAGGACAAGGAAGTTGCGCTTCGCAGGTTTTCTTCATGCGGTAACACCAGAGGCAAACGCCTCCCATTTCCTTGAGCTTCTTATTTTTCTCTCTTCTCTCGTCTGATTCCTCTTTGGTCTGGACTCGCGATTCGCGATGACGAGGTGGCCTTATTCCGTCCTCCATCACAAATGTAAACCCGGAGACATTGCCAGGAGATCGATCCTGCTGGAGTGACCCGGCTGGAGGAGGACAGTGGACCCCCGTGAGGTTCATGGAGCCTTGAGATGTGACTAGTTCAGTTATATATATACAAATAACGTGCGCAAGAGTCACTTACACTCGGAAGGAATCCGATCGGCCGATGATGCGAAGTCGTATACATAATGCTTAACTGGTGACACTGTGCGAATTCCAAGGGTATCGTACGGCCAGGCGGATAACTGATGTTCCAAATTCATATTCGATGCCGATGGATTTGGCGTATGAATCGGTGTACCATAAGGGACTGACACTGGAGCGATGACGGGCCCGGGAGAAGGAAAACAGTTGAAGCCTTGGGAGAAGTCCACTGGATGGGCATTGGTGAGGTTTACCATGCCGTTTGTGAAAGTGTGGTGGTTTACCATGAGTTCAGTGGTAGGGCCGCGCGCGAACGGAGAGCCCATTTCAGCAGCAGGAGAATGCTGTACAAGATTATGATGTACATGCTGTAGTGACTGTACTTGTTGTAAATTGAAGCTGTGAGATGATGGGGTATCGTATGTCGCTTGGTGCTGGATCATAACTTCGTGTGACGATGACGCAAGACTCTCCATAGTGGACTGGGGTGAGTTAGTAAATACTGACTGAAAAGATTCAGATATCTGAGCAGCGAGAAGTCGAAATGAAACATCCTCAAGCCTGGAACAGGGATAGCTTACACCTCCATTTGGAAGTTCTATGCTCTGATGTCGAGGGTCAACAGGTGTTTGAAACGATTCAAACTGCGAGGGAACGAAGGGAAGATCCGAGGTTGGAATATATGACATAGCATCGGATTCTATTACTTTACGTGCGTAGTAAAGACGATCGAAGTCGAAAAGATAGTGTATAGGTAGATTCAAGGCGGTCTCAAAGAGGATCGATAAGTAACGAAGGACGTAAGAAGTGAGATGGTGGATGATGAGTTCAGGAGACACTGTCTGAAGAGGTCGAGGTGTGTTGTCGTCGAAGTATGACGAGAAGGTAGGAGTCACAGTAGACCCAAAGTTAGGGCAAGGCCAGCATGACGACAACAAACCTTCCACCAAGCAACCACCATCCTTCAGCAGTCTGCAAGCAAGACCGACAGCAAGCAAGACGGACAAGGCTGAGTGCTCAGTACATGAGCAGAACAGCGACTGTTCTCTGGTTGAACATCAAAGCCAAATAAGACCAATTCCTGGCAGTGTCTGCGCTGAAGTTGACTGGACACAACTGGGCTTGCAGCCTAAGGCAGAAAGCACTTCTCGACCAGAAAACCGTAGATCTTCTGACCTTCCCGTCGTTGATTACTTACCGATAGCATCATCAGTTCTTCATGGGAAGAATGGGAAGAATGGCGATGTTTAAACCAACTCAATATCCGTTGGGGAGAGTAGTTGACCCTGCCAGGAATTGAAGTCGGAAATTCGCCCATTAGCTGTCCCTAGGTTGCGATTGAAGAGGAACTGCTCCTGGATTAAATTCGCTGCTTGATTCATAATGGAAGCGATGTAATCACTTCAAGGCTCCAGGTGCTGTTCATCCTGAGCTATAAGATCAGGGTCAATCTTAGTGCCCAGATCTCGGTCTTCAAGAAATTTCCGGCCAAGTAGTTTCTCTGGAAGGTAATCTTGCACTACCTGACCATCGAGGTAATTCGGGTTGTACTTGTACTCTTTTCCATACCCCAACTCCTTCATGAGTCGAGTGGGGGCGTTCCTCAGATGGATTGGTACTGGCAAGCCCGCAACCCCCGGCTCCCCCAACGCTGCAAAAGTATTGTTCAAGCCGCGATACACTCGAGTACTCTTTTTAGAGAGCGCCATGGCTACTGTAGCGTGTGCGAGGTTGATGCGTGCTTCTGGAAGCCCGATCTTTTCGACAGCCGAGTGAGTAGCAATGGCAAGTGGCAGCATACTGTTGTCTGCCAAGCCGATATCTTCTGAAGCCACAACAACTAGACGACGCGCGATATACAAAGGGTCTTCGCCAGACTGCAGCATGCGTGCGAGGTAGTATAGAGCAGCATCTGGGTCACTGCCCCTGATCGATTTGTGGAAGGCCGAGATTGTGTCATAATGTTGATCCCCTGCGCGGTCGTACACCAAAGTCTTGGTAAGCGATCGCTTCAATTCTTCTTTGGTCATTCTGGGACGTTTCGACAAGTCCATAGCCAGCTCCAAAAGGTTGAGAGATGTTCGAGCGTCTCCATCAGAAAAGCGAGCAAGGTATTCAATCAACTCATCATCTACGATTGAGGACGGTGAATAGTTGGGACCCTCAACTCTCAAAGCTCGGTCAAGGATAGATCTGACGTCCTCATCGCTCAGTTTTGACAAGGTGAAGGTCCTGCATCTGGAAAGGAGAGCATTCTGGACTTTGAAAGACGGATTCTCGGTCGTGGCGCCAATGAGTGTGATTTGCCCACTTTCTACAGGGCCTAAGAACACATCCTGCTGTGACTTCGAGAAGCGATGAATCTCATCGCAGAACACTATCGTCTTCCTCCCAGTCAGACCGAGCTCGCTTCTGGCTTCAGCGAATATCTTTTTGCATTCCGCGACCCCGGTGCTGGTACTGTTGATTTCCACAAATCTGCTTCCTACCATCGACGCGATGACCCTTGCAATGGTTGTTTTACCCGTTCCCGCATGCCCCCAGAGTATCATACTCGGGACACGGTCCTGTTCAATTAGTCCGCGGAGTACGCCATTTGGCCCGACAAGCTCCTGGCCACAGACTTCATCGAGGGTCCGGGGCCGCATGCGCTCGGCCAGCGGTGCTGCTTTCTGAAGTGCGTTCACCTTCGGCTTTTTCGGATGAGGCTCTCTTTGCATTTCATCTTGATCCGGCTTGTTCCCATTCAAGGCAGACTCCTTCTCATGTGTAATCGTTCGTTTCCCATTGGCGG